AAAAAAAACTAGCTCCCTTTACATAACTATTATTCCTAAAAAGATCTTACCAAAGTTGATGATATTTTAGGGTATTACAAAAGAGCAAAAGAAAATTGACTTAGTTGCTAAGGATATGCAGACACAATCGCATAGAGTTTTTAGGCTACATGGCACTTAAATACCTTATAGTTTTTCCTACTTTACGCTTATATACCCCAAGTTGTTTTTAGTAGCAATAATAACAATAATATACCCTGAGTTGTTTAAAGTTGGCACGCTATTACCCTCTGTTTGATTCCCATGTGATTTGCGTGTGACCTTTTTAGGACAAATTTACCCCTCTTGTTCACTGAAATCATAGCTAAACCATTACCAGCTCTATTTTCTTTCACTTCTCCCCCAAATTTTAATTTAATTTTCACCTTTTCTCTCCTTTCTCCCATTTTAACCTACTTGCTACAACTCATGATGGTGATGCAATAATTGATGACTTGGAGGTCAGTCTTAACTCTTTGGATTATTCTCCTCTTTCACTTCTAACTTTGCACTATGTATGTGCAAATTCTTAATCCTTGCTTACTTGAGCTTTTGCTCCCAACTCCAACTCCATGCTTTCTCTTTGCTATCTGACTAGGGGTTAGCTACAGGAAGCATCTCTTTCTTACCCTTCGGGTTGTCACGAGGAAGTTCAGATGTCCCTAGTCCATTTCAACATTCTCAATTCAGTATATAAGTTTCAAACAAATTGTCCTTGCCTGTTGACAGAAACTCAACTATATGTGCGCAAGAACAAATTCAAGAAGAAGGCAAAATAAATTTCTAGGGAGAGAAGAAAGAAACAGAAACATCTATGGTGAAAGAGGGGGGGTTAACTGAATTTAAGAGAAGGATAATAAAAAACCTTAACTCAAATTAAGGGAAAGAAAGAGAAGGAATGAAGGGTATTCTAGATATTTGTAGATCCTCCTTCATTAGCTTCTCTAACGCCATCACTGGAGTGGAATCCTCCCATCAGCTTCTTTGGCGGTGAAATTAGGGTGCTACCATGGTTTTTTTAGGGAAGCAAAGAGCTATTGGTGAAAGTGAATTTGTTTAGCGTGAGGGGATTTAATTTCATCAAGGGTAATTTTATCTTTACACTTCAAAATTTTAACTTTGTTTGGAGATTCTAACAGAAAGCAACTTGGGATCTATTATTGCCACTGAAAGCAACTTGGGGTATATGTATGTAACAGAAGGGTAAAGTATAGGTATTTAAGTGGTATTTAGCCAACTTTTTATCAACCATTTGCTATACATGAATACATTATCAGTTCATTGGGCCAGTGGCACAGCCACATTCAAGTAAATGTGGGCAAATGCCCCCACTTAGATTTTTTTTTTTTTTTGCTATATACCCCTCCTATGTAATAAATCTAATATTAAGACCCTAGCAGAAATTTTTGTGCTATATACCCCTCCTATATAAATCTAATATTGAGACCCTAGCTAAGTATTTGCCCTCACTTGGTCTCTTAGACACATAACTATTATGGTATTTACAATTTAATTTTATTATAGCCTACTTGTAAGTTCAAATAAATTGTACTTTTAATTATAATGACATGTACTTTAAATGGAGGCCCATATTGGTAACTATAATGCATTTTTAACTAAATGCATTTAGTTTGATAAGACCTACTTAGTTAAATACAAATGCCCATTAATTAATCCTAATTATATCTAATTGATCCCTCTTACTTTGCCGTCATTATGGATCAATCCATTTAAGAGAAAATCAAAACGAATAGGTGAGCCTACTAGAAGGATAGAATGATTTTGGATTTTGAGAGAAAAGTAGGTACAATGTTTAAGCTTTATATGTTCTAAATACTTTGCATAAAATTTTATTAGAATTATTTTTGTGTAAGAGCAGAACTTGTGAATTGTGATAGTGGGAAAAGCTTAGTTGCATAATAGGAAAAAATTATGGCTTGACGACAGGCAGAATCGATCAAAACACTTTTTTAAATAGAAAATTTTTATTTTCTATGTTATCATTATTAATCTCAATTTATAGTAGTATTTTATTACTTCTAATTATACAAAAAATCATCTAGTTGTATATTTTTAAATAGGTTATAGATAAAATTTAAAAAGATCATAACTACCAAGATAATGTCGACAGTTCTTTAAAGCAATGATGTATGATATCATATTTTATTTATAATTTTTTTGCCCCATTAGGTAGTGGGTCGTGACTCCGCCACTGCATTGAGCTATGTTTGAAGCACATCAAACATCTATAGGTATAGTATATCCACTAGAAAAAGATCTACATCATATCATACATCATACATCATACATAGTTTAAAAATGGGAGTTGTGAAAAAACTTTTTATAGATAATATCACCACTATTCTTTTACTATACTACATTCTAATCATAACTACACTAAATTAATTATCATTATTAATTATATTATATGCCACTTGTCAAATTTGTATAACTAAGGACATCTTATAGAACTATAAGTAATATATAAGAACAAAATATTTAAAGGTTATTTAGACATTAGTCTCTTGATTTTAAATCTTCAATAATTCTATATTAGTCCCTGAAAACTTTGAAATTGCTCATAAATTTACGGACTGGTATTCAATTATTAAAGGTTTGAGAGACAAAATGTGCAAATAAGCCACATTTAAACGAAGGATTAATTTTTGAAAACCCGTCAAGTATGAGGGTTGTCTCAAAAATCGCACTCAACTCATTTTATATGAGAAAAACCTCCCAACTATAGAGGTGTTCTAGATTATCCCTCTTAACATTAGTACAACAACAATTTTAGAAGCCTCCCAAAACTTTTGGCATGTCCCATAAAAACTCCCTTGACCTTTTACACTTCTCTCAACAAACTCTTTTAACGTCATTACTTCAATATGTGATTTGGACGTAATACCCTCATGAGAAAACCCATTTTAGTTAAAAAAAAATCCTGAACCGATAATAAAAAGACCACAACCAATTTACAATATTTTCTCCTCCATATCTCGTATTTTTCTTTTATCCGGCAAAAATCAAGCTAATTCTTCTATGGTTGAAATATACTTGTCACGTGATAGATTAGACTCAACGGCGTTAGTTTTGAGGTGTTAAGTGAGAAAAGTTCAATGGGTTAAATCAAAGTTTTAACATTGAGATAAATTATCTGTATCCCAAATTTGGGGATATTTTCTCAAATTAAATAGCTAGAGGGAATTTTCTAACACACACACACTCCCTCCCCAAAAAAAATTGAGGAGTATTATGAAATTAACCCTTAAATAAAGCACGACTTAAGGCACATGCGATATCAATTTTATAAGAGTGGATTTTTGTACCAAGTCTATCATTCAATTAGCTTTAAATATCTATTGTTACAGATTCTCTTAGAGAAATTTACTTTTTACTAGGATGATATTAGATCCTTATGATTCTCTTTGTCTTTCATAGTTTGGAACTCATTATTTAACAAAATAAACTTTGTTGTTTATTTTATATTACTCACCTTCTCATAGGTTTATGAAGCACATAACCCGGATAGATGTATTATTGCGGATATTGGATTCTTCTAACTCATTTATTTAAAATTTTGGATTATTGTTGACATTTGATAGATCTAAACTATTTTGTTAAGATGCAATCCGTATGAGTACATAATATGTATAAATCATTTTTGGATCATATTTTATAATTTTTTGACACCAGAGAGTAATTGTTTTGGGAATTTTAGACAAATCAATTAGTTTAGCTGGGAAGATGTGGAAGGATTACAATATTAGATTTTGAATTGATCACATAGTTTGTGTTTTCTTTCCTGAATTTGCACATTTTGACTCAGAGAATTCTAAACAAAAGCTTTTGAGTTACTATGATATTCAGTCGCCGGCTATAAACAACAGGTGGAAGTCATCTTTTATAATTAAACAAATCAGATAGGACTAGATAAAACCTATCATTTTTCTTTGATGAATTCAAGAATTTATTTTTTCATTAATAATAAGAGTCTTTTCGATATTGGTCCCTAACATCATTGAAGTTGCTCTTAAATCATTGAAATTAGTCATTCAAATCATTGAAGTTGCTCTTAAATCATTAATATTTTAAGATTTTAAACTTCACTTTTCCTTTGGAAGGTAAAACATTGAAAACCAACAAGGTTTTATGCATGAAAATATCCATAAATTTTTAATATATTATAGTAATCATAAACTTTTTCGCAACCATGTTGTAGAAAATAAATATAAACCTAAAATACACAATTAAAATATTTGACCACGTGCAATGCACGTGCATTCCACCTAATACAGGATAAACACCATAGCTGAAAATTTCAACCAAGTTGTAATGAGATGAGGGTTTTTAAACTTGTCAAGGTGGACAGCTGATGGATTTAAATTCACTGATTGGCTTGCTTTTTTGTGTTTGATGAAAATAGCAAGTCATATGATTAATCATTAGTCTAATTGGTTGCGCTAATGCATTTTTTATAAATAGAACGTCAAGGACAAGGCTAACAGGGTGACTGAGTAGACAACTCTTAAGCTAATCATACTCATGGTTGACAATCCATTAAGTTGATTCCGTTTAGATAATATGCAAGAGTCTGGACAGTTGGACATCACACATACATATCCACTTCTTTTTCTGGCGTGACCAAACAAGATATGTGATGCTCATGTGACCATACAAGATTATATGCTTTGCTCTTAATCTTGGAGCTTCTATTATCTAAAAGAATATTTGTCTTTGGTTTAACCGTATGTACACCCCTCTACTATGAAGGTATAATCACTTGTGTGCCCGAACTATTTTATTAGCACTTACACTTACTGCATCGTATCCCTAAACTAAGTTTGTACAAAAATAATGAATTGCCCTCTAGATTGAGGGCACAGGGGCATCAGCGCGTCATCATCATGGTCCAGAGGGTGTATCCACAATTGACGCTTTGTTTTTTTTCAACTCATCTGAGCTCATGTTTATTTCCTTCGCAGGAGGAACTAGAAGAAGCCTATGCTTCTAGTAACAGCAAGCAGCTTCCACAATATACTGGACCGAGAAAAGGCAAGAGATCAAAGAGGAAGAGAACGGTACAGTGATGTAGAGATCTCTATACCGCACAAACGCAACATCCTGAGTCGCTCATGTCTCATTCAGCTGTATATCAAATCTCTGTATCATGGCCATTTTTACTCCAGGCTAATTTTTATTGTAAGCAATTCAACGAGATCCTCAATCAGCTAATCAAAATAGTAAAGGCTGAAGAAGTAAAATCTATCATGTAACATGGTTTAGATCGGTGAAATCATTCCTTGCTTCTTTCTGTGTATCTTGTTCGATATATAATTTGTTAGGATCTGTACGTACTAAGGAATTCCCTTTCTTATTATTATTATCGATGTATTGATTGATTCCTCTTTTACAAATTTTTTTAGACGACAATCCTAGTTTATATAGAACTAGGTGTATACAAACTCCTTTTGAAAAAGACGGTACGGAATAAAGACAAAAAGGATCCATGACAGTCGTTTCTGTATCTTAAAGTTCCCTACAAGATTTTTGATTTTTCCCCCTATATTTATCAATAGATTTGTCAAAGTTGTTGTGCTTTAGTTCAAATCTAAGTTTAGATTGTATTCCTAATTTGTGTTTTCTATTATCTCATGGAAGATAGAACGCAGCCTTAACATGGTATATTCTTCATGTATCTATTTCTCTGTAATAATGGGAGGACCTAAAAATCACTATTCATGCTACAGTAAAAACTACAGTAATTTATTATATCATTATTCAAAGAAATATTACTGTGACATGGGCGGGATACTGCAGCAGTATTAAAAAACATTACTGTAGCAGAGATGGAAGATTGTAACGTTTTAAAAAATATTACTGTAGCAATTTAAGAAAAAAATATTGTAGCAATTAAAAACAGGATTTTTGTAACGATAAAAAAAAAGGAAGGTTGTGTTTCGAAGGAAGGTTGTGTTTCGCACGGGGCGCACACTAGTATAGGAAATAAAGAGAGATCTATAACAGGAGCGGTACACTTAAATTGTTCTCCCCCCACCCCCCAAAAAAAATTCCCTTCTTGTGGATTATAGAATGCTGAACTTAAAAGTAAAAGTGCACTAAGCAGACAATCATCATGTTCAGCCAAATGATCTCTGGGATTGTCATAGGAACCGGACTTCACCGACCAATGAGCAAAAAATAATACCAATAGAGTAACACTGCCAGCTAAGATTTTTGGTGCAAAAAGTATAAAATACATGTACTAAGCATTTCATTGCGCCTTAGTCTGACTATCTCAAGTACAGATTTTATCAGAACATCTTGTTGATCTATACCGTACACGGGTGGTTAAGAGGTTAGTTTGGAAAATTTAGCTATTCTATCTATGATTAAAACCACCGCATTCCTATAGGGATGGTTCTGACAGGATAATTAGTGGATTATCTCCAACCACATTTCAAATCAAGGTTAAACTCAAGTAATGTAACTTGTGTAAGACTAGTTTCAAATTAATTAAAGTTCAGATTTGTAGTTAGGCTTAGGCAAATTTGTATTTAGACTATTAACACGTTTTAGAAAAAATAAGTTTTCAAAAAACCCT